ATTTTATGGAGAAGAGCTACATCAGACATAGGGTTGTTTTGAAAAAGAACACAATTTCTATTCTTCCACAAGTTCCAAACAACAATACCAAAAAGTTTATTCCAAATAGTGTACGAAGGAAAGTTCAATTTAGAGAAATTATAAGTCAGCCAGTTAGAAAGGCCAAGACTAAAAAAAAAGGGACCAATTATCAGGGGGAAGGATTTGTTTCCAAATAGCTGTCGCCGCCCAGCAATCACGGATAACATGAATAACAGATTCAGGAGCTGCCTGACATCTGAAACAAATAGAGGAATCAGTTATATTACGATTAGCTCTTTCAACATTAGTTAACAGTCTGTCATGAGCAATTTTTCATAAAAAAGTGGAAATCCTAGGAGGGCCCTCCCAATCCTAAACCAGTTTAAATAAATTAGAATTTTTGGAACAGGAAAACTTAGCATTGGAGATTAAATTGTAAGCAGATTTTATAGAAAAATGTCCATCATTAGAAAGCTTCCAAAACATCTTGTCCTGACCACTAGAAATAACAGGCAGATTGATCTTAGCTATTGACTCACAAAACTGAGCAAGGAGGAAATTCCTAATTTTTGACCAATCTCATTCCCCCTGAACAGCAAAAAGGGTAACTGGATCATTTAATTCATTATCAGGAATGTCTTTAATAGCAGAACTTAATAGATTATGATTAGGAAAAATCCAATTATCCTTCCAAAACCTGATAGACAAACCATCAATCACCTAAAATCCAATCTATCCCATTATAAAAACAGTCCCAAACCGACACCATGCTCTTCCACAGAGGGGAGGATTTTTGGTTAATACATAAGGAAGGATCTTTTCCAAGGGAGAATTTATACTTACTACTAAGGACTCTAGCCCATAACTCACCAGAAGTATTAATAAACCTCTAACAAAGTTTCATAATAAATGCCTGATTCACAAGGTTAATATTTCTAAAACCTAAACCTCCTTCATTTTTGGGCTTACAAATAGTCTCCCAACTAATCAAATGACATTTTTTACCATTAAAAGACCCCCAAATAAACTTTTTACAGACAGTATTAATTTTACAAATAACTTTTGGAATAATCATGGATTGCATGAAATAATTAGGGATGTTCATTATGTAAGATTGAGCTAATGTCACTCTACCAGCAAAGGAGAGAGACTTCATTTTTCAACTTGAGAGTTTCTTCCTGATTTTGTCAATAAGAAAAGCAAACTCATGTCTAGAAGGGTTGAGATGACTAATAGAAATACCTAGATATTTACCAAAATGAATGGACTTTCTGAAACCTAAAGACTAATATCCTAAATTAAAGGAGAAGGACAATTTTTTGAAAAATAAATAGAAGATTTATCTTTATTAATAGACAAACCAGAGACTGCACAAAATAAATTTAACACAGAATTAATAATCTCAGCATGATGATTATCATTTTTAGCAACTAAAATGATATCATCAGCAAAAAAAAAAGATGAGATATTTTAGGGCCAGCAGAACTGAAAGAAAAAGGGGTCTAGACACAATCATTCACCATATCCTGAATTAAATGAGCAAGTTTCTCAATACACATCACAAAAATATAAGGAGAAATAGGATCATCCTGCCAAATTCCCCTACTAGGCTTAAAACTAGAAGTTCTGTCATTATTCCAATTAATAGACATGGAAGAAGTGGAAATACACTTGTTAAAAAGATTTGAAGTCTTATTATTAAAACCAATTTCTTGAAGAATATCAGCAATGAAACTCCATTTGATTTTATCATAGGCCTTTTCAAGGTCAATCTTAATAATCAAGAACCCATTCCTATTTTTCATTTTTTCAAAAGAGTGGACAAGTTCCTGCAAAATTAGGGTACTGTCAAAACCCTGAGATTGAATCAGGTTTGGCAAACGCAGGTCTTCTTGCATGAGTTCCTCTTGCTCCTCAAAGACTACTTCAAACCCCATCTTAGCCTTTTTCGTACTTCGATCTATCAGATCTAACTCTTCTTTATATTGTTTTTCTACTTCATGACGTTCCATCCCTTCTCGCTCCTCTTGGCCAGAGATCTGAACTTAGAACCTTTTGTTTATTATCCTCTATCTCGCACTTCGTCCCTCGGTAGGTCACAAGGACGCAGACTGACTAGGGCGAGAACCTTAGCAACGCCTCTTTTACCCCTCTTCTTAAAAAGAAAGAAAACTATCTTAGAGCCCCGAGAAAACCCTAACTTAATACCTTTTAACTAGTTTATTAAAGGTGTCATTTAATTTTATCTTCACACATAACATTATGTATATGAAATTTTTAGACTACTTAGACACACCCACATATATGAGATTCTTCTTCCTAGATATGTTACATACACACACATATTAAAATTCTTTATAAATATTTAATTTCATAATGTCAACCATTAAATTAAAAATTCTTCTTAAATATCGGAAGTTCACAAAAAGTTATACAAATAAAAAATTAATTAACGTATCATCGAGCAGCTTTTTTTTAACATATATACATTTTTAAAGTATAAGTAAATATTGATTATATAAATTACTTATTTACAAACGTCTAATTTATTTAAAACTCATGTATAATAAACATAAACATATATTAAAATTATTTGATCAATTGATCAACTTTATTTTGTTTTACCATATACTTTTTATAATATAAGCAAACGTCGATGATAAGATTACATACTTATAAAATGAAGTAAATAACCAATGTTTACCCGTGGAGTATGGGAATCCACTTTAATATATATGGCAAATATCAAGCTACTGTAAAGTAAATTTGACAAGAGTTGCTCTACTCAATAACTCTTTATATACTTTAAATTAATTTCATTAATGTAACCATTTAATACAACCACTCTTAGTTTATACACTAACAAAAAGAATATATCTAAGAACTTCTTATTACAAATAAATTTTATCAATTAATCATTAATTATATACATACATATACAATGTATGTGCGTAGACACATATAATTTTAAAAAGATACACACAATATATATATATATATATATATATATATATATATATATAATGATTTCAATAATTATGATTATGTTTTATAAATAAAATAAATGTAAATTTTATAAAATTAAATTAAATTATAATAAATTATTGTTACAATTGTCAGCTTTTTATATCAACACAATTTAAATAATTTTAATTATTTATTTTTTCAGTTATTTTTCTTACATTCATTCTCGATCTTCGCTTTATTTCTTTTTTCTTTCTTTCTTTTTATCTATCATTTTACACCTCATTTTAGGAGTGTAAACATTTCATTTTCATTTTCTGTCATTTGAATTATTTTATGTATTACGGTCAGCCAGGGGGTTGTCTCATTTTCAGCAATGCATTAATTCACACAGAGAATTTTTAATCTGCAACGGTTACAGCTTATAACATTAGGAATACTAATTACTAAAAATCATTCTACAGTTACTATTTTTTGTGAATGTTTAGTGCATGCACGTATAACCTGCTTTTGATCGAATTAAAAAGGGCAACTTAATCAAAGTACACGCATACATACGGGAACATGTCAAATAAAAATGTTTTTTATGTGATAATACATCCTAACGATTGAATTTTAATATAGATAGTAAAATTAAAATATATTAATTATAAAAAAAGTTTCATAATTTCCTTAAATAATTACATAAATTTAAAAATATTTTAATCTTAACTATTCATATATAATTATATATTTTTAACATCAAATTTATCATTTTTATATAAAAATGGTTTTCTCGCAAAAACATTCCTAATATACATATTATCCCTTCACTGTATTAATATATAAATCACATCACTATCCATAATTTAAATATCTATTACATAAGTATAAAATTCAGTTTAAAACTGATAATAGCTACTGTATATCATTCCTATAAACATTTACATTGATATATAATCCGGATATTCTATTGTTACACCTTAATTAGTAGGTTTTTAAAATATTTAGGATTTATATAAAACAATATATAAGTTTATAGGAATATTAAAATAAAGTTAAAGGAATATTAAATTATAGTTTTCTCTGTAATAGTTTGTTTATTTTCTTAAATTTATATTGGTGCATTAAAGCGGATTACAATTCTTTATATAAATTTATTGATAAAAATAGCATTAAATAACATTTTTTTTTCATGAAAATCAACACAATTTCGACAAGATCTCTCAATACGAAGGTGAGAGTGTCGTTTATGATAGTTCGAGAAGAACTTACTGTTCCTTCTTTAACGAATAAGTTGGAATGATGATTGTCGTCCTGTAATAATAATAATAATAATTTGTCATCGATCAATTTGTAGGAACCAATATAATTTCATTTAATGTAAAAACTAAAAAAAGTAATTAATGTATAAATGAAAATTCCTTTTATCACATTGTAATGTGTGCTTCATTTTCCTCTCGTAACTACACACTGTTTCTTTTTTTTTTTTTTTGGTTATATAAATATATTTTTTTTCAAATTCCTCTGAACGATATTAATTTTAAAAGAATGTGTGGCTCAACATGTCAATATATTATATGCTTATGGCCACAAGATATATACGTTATGTCGGCAAATTTGTTGATGCGTAAAAACTAATGGTAAAGCATCCACCATCTTATAATTTATAAAAAGAACTATAACAAAATAAAAATGAAATATAATTATTGTAGAAAAAAAAAACCCAAAGTAAAGTGAATTTTTTTTTCCCGAAAAATAAATGGGAAACATAAATTAGGCCTCGTTACATGACTACGCCTTTTCGACGCAGGTGCGCAAAATTAAGATACGGAACCTCACTCACAAATATACGTACGAACATCATAACTACTTGTTCAGTAGTATGTAATGCATATCCTCTATATATAACGTTGCTTTCCCACCGTTCTCCTTGAACTTGCTTAGTTTGTTCTTTGACGTGTTCTCTGCAGTACCAAACCTCCCAAAACCCCTAACTTCAACGTTCCATTGATTGGTCACAGAGGCTGAAAAACATGGGTAGGTCACCGTGCTGTGAAAAGGTGGGGCTGAAGAAAGGGCCATGGACTCCTGAGGAAGATCAAAAGCTCATGGCTTACATTGAAGAGTTTGGCCATGGAAGCTGGCGTGCATTGCCAGCCAAAGCTGGTAATAACACAATAGGGTTATTTTTTGCTTTGTATCTATTTATATATTTAGTATATGTTTGCTTCAGTTTATAATATAAGAAGACTAAGGTTGTACATCATCTTCTTGGTTCATAATATTTAGGCCTTCAAAGATGTGGGAAAAGCTGCAGACTAAGGTGGACTAACTACCTCCGACCTGACATAAAAAGAGGAAAGTTCAGCTTGCAGGAAGAGCAAACAATCATTCAACTTCACGCCCTTCTTGGAAACAGGTCAGCAAATAAGTAATAGAAAGTAGGATCACAGTAATGAAGTGCCACATAAAGCAAAAATAGCAAATGCCCTCGCTATATCTACATGATTAAATGCCCAAGCAATGCAAGTTAACTTACGATAACTTTAGTATGCTCTTCTTTTTAGCTATTCAAGTTTCCCACCTAGAAAAGTGATACAACAACATGCCATGCATTTGTAAAACACGAAGACATCAATAGTATATTAGCTTTTTAGAAGATATTACCAGTAGTTCATGATCTTTGTTTTAACTAATTCTTTTTTAGATGATTAAATTTAAAATATAAGTTATCATTTAAAAAATGTTTATTGAATAAGAATTTAGTTAAGTGGTGTATCTAAACACGTGATGTGCTTGTTTGGCTTTACATGTCCATTGTTAATTCCTGTTGTTTAACATATTGAACGTAGATGGTCAGCAATAGCGGCTCAACTTCCCAAGAGAACCGACAACGAGATAAAGAACTATTGGAACACACACCTGAAGAAGAGGCTAACAAGAATGGGGATAGACCCTACAACCCACAAGCCTAAAACCGATGCTCTCGGTGGTTCGGGTAGTTGCCAGTCCAAGGACGTAGCCAACCTGAGCCACATGGCTCAGTGGGAGAGTGCTCGGCTCGAAGCCGAAGCAAGATTGGTGAGAGAATCAAAGTTGCAAGTCCAGAACAACCTCGGATCCTGCTCCTCCCCACAACCCGCGAGACTCGTCCTCAACAAAATCACAACGCAACAACCATCACTACCACCTTGCCTTGACGTGCTCAAAGCGTGGCAAAGCTCATGGTCGAAGCCACAACCAACAACAACAGGAACAAAAGACAACAACAAAATAATGCATAGCATGTATGCCATGATGCTATCCACTGATGACACCCTCGAGTCTCCCACGTCCACGCTGAACTTCCCAGGAACAGTGCTTCCTGTCCCCACCAACAACGTCGGAGTAATATTCAATGAAAACAATAACTTACTCCCTCTCACCACGACTACAAATGCCACACCAAACCCGTGTGAGGGTGGGTTCATGAAAGGGATTAGTGATCACAACACAATGTTACACTTGCAAGACGATGATATCATGGCGGCTGTGGAAGCATTTAGATCAAACACAACAAGGTACAAAAACAACAGCAACAACAATAATGTTGCTCCAGCACTCTCGTCCAATGTCGTCCTCGAAGGACTCAACAATGATGATGCCTTGGTTTATGATTCCAACGATAACTTAGCCTCGCAAGAAGAAAACTTGGCAATCATTAACGGGGATGGAAGCATCTGCAACGTGAGCCTCGAAGAGAATAATAAGCATTACTGGAATAACATACTTAATTTGGTGAATGACTCGCTGCAGTCTGATTCGTCTGTCTTCTGATATACGGTGTCGTATGGTGGAGCTAGCTAGTTAGAGTAGCTGTTAGCTGTAGGACTTTAGACTAAATTATAACATAATAATAATAATAATAATAATAATAATGCCATCGATGTCTCACAAAATAATGTAACCGATCCACATGATCCTTGTCCAAAATTGGATGTTAGGTGTTAGCCGTTGAGTCTGTAAAATTACGTACAACCCCTCCAAATATTAAGTGTTAGCATTATTCTAGCTAGGGTCGATTTGAATTCGCCCATTTTCTTGGACCGTCAATTTCGGAAGAGCGAATTAATTTAGTTTTTTTTTTATATCAATTTAATTATTTTCTGTGTTCTCATTTTCATGGCAATCATTATGATCTTCATTTACACTATATACACACACACACACACTGAATTTAGCGGTACGTAGCTAGGTGAAATAATATATGGAACTTATGAAGTTTGGTAGAATCTTTTAGTGACCTACGTATTGCTCTGATATTATCAGAATGTACGAGCCTGTTCATTTAAGAACTTGAATAGTTGAATTAATGATGTGAGCTGGCGAAGAAAGATTCTTGTTTCCTCTGAATATTACATATATAGTTATCTAAACATAGGGAAGAAAAGCTATTGGCTTATCAATGTCCCCAATTGAGTTAGAACCGGTCCCTACCAATCTCCTAGCTGCTTGTGAAATTTGGATTTTTACTCTAACCAAAAACTTCATACATGCTATTTTATACCGTATTCATTTTTAAATGTTTAAATCAAATAATTTTAAAACATACCCGCTGCGTTCCATCCTAATGGATAAAATTAGAAATAATAATGAGTAAGATACTACCGATTTTATTTGCGTTTCAGAAAAATATTTGTACTTTACTTTAGTATAGATAATAACTTTAATATTTGTACTCTACATATACTTGTATATACATACTTACACTTATTACTTGTGTTTATTTTAAAAAATATATATTTATATAATTTTACATAAATAATATAATAATACAAACATTTAAGGTAAATACTTAAATATTTATATCTACACTCATTCCTATTAAAATTTATAAATATTTTTTATGTACATACTCGTTGTTAGTATCTACTTCATTAATTGTTATCTCTAAATTGAATTACTACTTAAAAATGATGATAAGCTCACATATATTATTTTATATTTTTGTAATTTATATTATTTAATTATAAGTTAATTCACTTTTATTTTTTATAGGCGTACACTCTTTGATGCTACCGCCAATTTTTTTTAATTAATATCCATGTAAATAGAGACAAATATCCATCTATATATATATAAGCATCACGTGCATTGCTTTAATGAGTTGAGTACGTGTGTTGGACCAATATAAAAATGTAGCTAATGACGTCATGATTCCTGATTTCATCAAGGGGATTCAATTTGGGTTTGGAATAGCTGGTACATATTTGGGCATTCGATAGCCGGCCCATTACATAATAAGTACACAGTACAAACTAGAAAATTAATGTTGACCAAGAATAACTAGCAAATTAATGTTCTGGACCAAAAACAAATAAAATACTAATAAATTTATGACCATTCACGTTTTGCATCTGCAGGTTATTCAAGCAAAATTTGTTTTCTGGTTCACATTATTCATTTATTTATTTTGATTTTAACATATGAATTTAAATTATTTATTATTTAAAAAATAAATTTAATAATTGATTGACATTTTTTCATATTTATAGACTCTGAAATCAACTAGATAAAATCAACCCATACATTTTATTTTGTGACACGACCTAGTTGATCGAGTTCGACCCTTTTTAATATCATTAATCTCTCACATGTCCTGCCCTTGTAACTCTTGATGTTAAACATCATAAATAATGTTTGGTGTATATTAATGTGGGATATAAACGATTAAGGTACCATATTTAAGATATAGAAGCGCAAAACATAAGGTAGGAGCAGATCCAACAGTACTAACCAAATCGTATAAATTACAAGATTTATAGGCAGATGTAATTGAGATTGCAAGTAACGTGAAAGATAAAAATAACATAATTGAAGAAAAATAGATAAACGTTGCAACGTAGGGCTGCTCCGAATCTCTGGACTAGATTGTTCTGACAACGCAACAGGGCAAACTCGTCCAACCGGGCCCACCTGGTTTTTTATTACTTCTGTTTCATTCAAAAAAGGTGAAGTGGGTCCAAACCTACACGAAACTAGTTTTGTGTTTTCATCCACAACCAAAGTGGATCACACTGCCTGAATAATTATAGAAATTTATACTTTTTCCTTTTATGAGGTTTCAGTGAATAATGGGAGCCTATTGTGAAAGAAGATGGTCAAGTTAGACCCACAACACTCAAAAAGGTTGGGCAAGTTACGGTGTCTATAATGTCATGTCTGTTTCAGATTTGCTTCGTGTTACGTGTAAACATACACGGGCAAAAATGTGTTCCCTTCACTATTCACTTCTCTTCTCTTATTTTATTTTTCTCTATTGAAAAATAAATTATACAAATTTATTCTATAAATATAATTTTTCCAGATTTTTTAGCCTCGTTGTTCATAATTTTTCCAGTTTTCAAATCTAGATAAAATATTTAATTCAATAATATAAAATGGAATTCGTAAAATGAGATAATAATAATTGTAGTAATGATAATATTTGTACAAAACAAGAAAGAAACGGGCTTTCTTTTTGTCCATGAGCTGTTGGGCCTACAGTTGATAATTTGGGAAATGGGCTAGGAATAAGGTCGATAATTGCCTTGGTTTTTCGCTTCCCTTGGTTGGACCTTCTTTTTAAGGGGTTCTTTTGACAAAATAAAATAAAATAAAGGAAAACACTTTGCTTCATATTTCCGTGGACCAAAAGGAGATACAAAATAAAACTTGATAGAACAAGAGAGAGATAGAGTAAAAGCTAATGTCCAATAAGGTGTTAAGGTCATGACTCCCGGAATATTAACTTCTTTTCACGACAAACATTTTTTTTAAATTAAAAAAAATTAATAATGACACTTTTTAAAAAATAATACTTGTTATTACTTTTAATTTGTTAAAAATTATAAAAATATGAATAAAAATAATTAAATCAAGAGTAAAACTCATAATGTTTTAGATTTATAATAAATTTTAACAAACAATAACAAAGTGTATTTAAAAGAATACATTAAAGAAGATTGTATTCCAAAATCCATATAAAATTGCTTTGATTGATGTTCATAACAAAATTAGCAAAACATAAACCTAGGACAATTCTACGGTACATGCACAATTGGTTGAAGCAAAAAATAAAAAAGAAAAAGAAAAGTCATTTTACGGTTCAAAATAAATTTTAGGTGAGCATAGAACACTGAAAAAAAAGGTAAGCACAAACCTAACACTTTTATTTAGACACAATCAATTAAAACATTATTTACGTATTTTTTAATAAAACAAACTAGATGAAAATAATAAGAGGAGCATATGGTTGGAAAGTGTTGACAGCTCTACATATTATGAATTAAGAGAGTTATTGCGTATATCTGGATTTGTCTTGCAAAATTTGAAAATTCCTTCTGCAAAGTGGAAATGTCGTAAATCTCCCCCCAAAGAAGAACAAGTATAACTTGATATAAACAAAACAAATGAAGAAATACAAATTGAGTGATTCTAAAAATCTCTCCTAATTACTAAATAAAGAAAATATTAAATATATTATATAATTTGAAGATAATAAATGCATTAATTTTTGGAGCAACATAAATTAGTTCTACTCACTCTTAAGCTTCACATAACACAATAAATCTTTCTCCACCTTTGATACCATGTACAATTTTAAATAGAGATGTCATCAATGTTTATTATATTGGTTTAGAATACTACAGGGCTCAAAGAGTTCAACGTTTCCCAATAACTTACCAAAAGAGCATCCCCCAAATAGAAGACGTGGGAATATAATTCAATCTTGTAATAGCTCATGAAAGGAAATACGTTGATGATGTAAATAGTAGCATAAATACATTTGTCTTAGAATAGGACTTTAGATTGTAAGAGAGCAACTCTTGCTACATTTAGCAAATGCATGTATTTGTCCTTCACTCTACATGAACAGGAAAATTGAATTTCAACTCATTTTTTGCTAAAGAAATTTAAGCAGGCTAAATTATTTAACTGTTGATTTTTATTTTCTTCGTGTCACTACCAAATTGATTCCTGATATAAGTAAAGAAGTTTTGAACCAAATAAAAATATTCAATTTTTAAAAAAAGTATAAACAATAAAATAATCAGCATTACAAACTATAGTTAGGAAATAATGCTTACCATCTGAGGTTGGTTTAGGATATAGACACCAAAAAATATATTGTATACGATTAAAAGTATCTTGTGCACAATTGTTAATTGAAATGAAAGGATTAATATGAATCTTTGATGGTGGAAAAATATCATAATTATGGGACTGAAATTAAAAGATAATTTTTTAGAATTTTACTACTTTGTACTTTCAAAATTTAATCAAATAAATGTCCTAATCTAGTGTGTAAAGTGGTGAAGTTAGGTATATGCAAAACATTATAAATTAGTGAGGTTTGAGTTTAGAGTCATAATTCTTATGGCTTGGATAGGAATTTGTGTATAATTAATTTAGTAAAATAATAAATTTATGTTAGAGAAAATATGATATGAGATGTGAACTTGCATCAATTATGCATTTATATGGATTTGTTTTGCGAAAAAAGAGATAGTGTAGAAAGAAGGAGTTCGAAAAGTCTTTTATAGTTGATAGTTAATGTTTGAATATGACATTATAATAAAACTAAATTTATGAATACTTAACAATAATAATTTTTATCATAGTTATACAGACGCTTATCAAATCATTTTCAGTTCCACCTCATTTCAATGCAAACCTCCAAAAAGCATAAAATAATTAGCTTATGTACTCATTTTCTTCCTAGGTGATATTTAAAACTAGTACTTATTTTGTCTAAACTACAAATATTTGCTTAATTAAAAATAGGCATACATTAC